AGACTTCCTGTCGCAAAAGTTCACCTGTGTCTGACATCTCTAAATGCCCTCTGCTCCCAGATGAAACTGCAGTAAGTATTCACAATCTTGCATAAAACCTAGCTCATGTCTTCTGAAGAATCAAAGTTTAACTGCTCATATTGTGTTCTTTATTCATTAATGTCTGCCAGACCCAATGACTGCATTTATAGAACGTTTACATTTGCCAGAAATGCGTTCCCCTCGCACATTTGTGCTAGTCAGTGGTGGGATTCAAATTGTTTTACTAGCGGTTCTATGGGGGTGGCTTGGTGGGTCGTAGCATGCCTTGGTGGGCCTGGCAGAGGAAGGATACTGTAAAATCTCCATTCCCTCCCGATCAGCTGGGACTGTGGAAGGCAGAGAATAGATGGGGGCGGAGCCAGTCAGAGGGGATATTTACCGGTTCTCCAAACTACTCAAAATTTCCACTACCGGTTCTCCAGAACTGGTCAGAACCTGCTGGATGCCACCTCTGATGTTAGTCATTCCGAACTATAGGGGGCAGTGTTGATTCAATTTCAAAGCCGAAGAGCCAGCTGTCCAAAGACGTCTCCGTGGTCATGTGGCCAGCATGACTAAACGCCAAAGGTGCACAGAACGCTGTTACCTTCCCACCAAAGGTGGTCCCTATTTTTCCACTTGCATTTTTATGTGCTTTCGAACTGCTAGGTTGGCAGAAGCTGGGACAAGTCACAGGAGCTCACTCCGTTACATGGCAGTAGGGATTAGAACCGCCAAACTGCTGGCCTTTCAATTGACAAGCTCAGCCTCTTAGCCACTGAGCCACCGTGTCCCTTTATAAATATAAATAGAACATTTAGACTGGACTAAAATGGAATGCGATAATCTGCGGGAATTCAGCCCTTCTCTTAGCTTTGTTTCATAAATTCTATGTATATAATTATAGGAATATAATCATTAAAATACCAAATTAATACCTGGAACACCAAAACGCATTTCCTCCTTTGGAAAATTTGTTTCAAGAAATCCACAGAATGGTTGGATGACTGTGAAAAGAAAGAATATAAAATTCTAAGAAGCATAGCACAAGAATTCAGCTTTCCCATGGAGGCTCCATCTTCTCTAATGGGACCACAGAAACTGTCATTCTGGGGAGGAGAAAAGGCTTGTCAACCACAGGGAGCAATGGAGAAGGTCCTTTGATGGAGAACATCTCATCAACCACATCCACTGCAATCCCACCGCATATTCGGAATTCTGAGCAGGTTAAAATTTTTTGTTGATGCAACCTTTCTCTTTTGCTCTAGGATGCAGGGCTATGCAAAGGCTCCGTGATCAACAGCCGACTACAATTTGAAAAAATTGTCACGGTACAATGCGAATTGTTCCCGCATCTGGTAAGTTTCTCAGACAGCTATCCTCCACAGAAAATATTTATTCATTGGTGGCTGAGTTTAGTTTACCTTTTTAAACACATTGACTGTGTTTCACCCAGCAAACCAACAGATTTTTCTGTTAAATAATAATTCGATAAATCACTAATTAAAACCTGCCTTGATTATGCAGGCAGATGAAGATCTGCTTAATAACATTTGTATGAGTTAATATTACTTTAATAATGATCTTCATTAAATTTTATCAATTTTAAATTTTGCCTAAAGTCTTTGGAGTGAGGCAGTTTATAACTTTTAAAATACAGAAATGTAATGAAATGATTAGCAACAATCGAATGGCATCCCTGTCACAATTAAATAAGTACAGCAGGGGTGGGTTGCTACCGGTTCGAACCGATTCAGCCGAACCGGTAGTGGAATTCAGGCCAGGCCTGGGTCACAGAACAGGCAGTGACCCAAGCCTGCCATGCCCACAAACCAGTTGCCTTGCCACTGCTGGGCCACCGCCATTTTCGTTTTTAGTCACTACGCGTGCGCAGGTCACTGCAAATTGTTCTGTGCATGAGCAAAGAACAATTTACATTGAACAGCGCATGCAAAGTGAGCATGCCCGAGCAAATTGCATGCACACAAGCAAAGTGCATGCACGTGAGCAAAGTGCGCGCAGGTTGCAAACCGATAGTAAAACCTGTCAGCAACCCACCCCTGAAGTAGAGAAAGGATGAGTCAACCTTATGCCCCGTCAGGGTCAATCTCTAAGCTGTGGGGCAGAATTTGCATATAATTNGAAAGGAGAAAACGAAGGAGAGAGAGGTTTAAAAAGGTGAAATCCTGGCAACTCCGTAAAATTTAATCCGTTTGCCAGGATTTCACCTTTTTAAACCTCTCTCTCCTTCGTTTTCTCCTTTCTTCTACTAATGGGTCGAAAATGACGAGGCTCCTAAGAATGTATAGCATCTTGGCAAACGTTCAAGCTTCGAAAACCAAAATCTTTCGCTTAATTAGAAAAGTTCTCACCCTCATCCTGCCCCAAACTCATCAGCCAAAGCTTTAGCCTAAAAAAAACCCCGCAATTAAAATAATATCTCCGAGGTTAAATCTTTTCCATGCCCCCAGAAAAAAAAGATTAACACAAACATCTTTAAGGTCTCTCGACAGACAAACCCCACTGATGATTGGATAGGGGCATAGCTCAATTTCAAAGTCAAGAACGCAAAGAGAAGAACTGTGTTAACGTTTCAACATGCAGAGAGAGCAATTCCTACTCATCCTTTCGGTTGACGGTACCTCCTATTATTCTCTTTGAGAGGTACTCCATAACCAGACTATCTGGTCAGGAAAACAAATTTGAGGACACCCTGGGGGGGAAAGCTCATGTTTTCCCTTGCAAAAATATAAATAAATTAAAACAAATGCATGTTTGTAGACATTTGGAACTCAATAACGGAGTAAAGCAAAGGAGGATAATAATCGGCACGCTCTCTTAGGCTCCCCTAGGAATCTGCGGCTTTAAAAATAAAAATTCAGAGATGCACTGCCCTCATCTTCACCTCTGCACCGCGTTGCATGAGCTGGATGGGAGAAGGGAGATGTTTTCCTGCACATGGGAAGAGCATGGATGAGAAGGGCAGGAGATGGGAGGGAAAAATCCCATCCTCCACAACCACCACCACCCGCCCTGGCTGCAGGGGAGATCTTCCTAGGAGAGAAAAGCCTGTTTGGAGGGAAAGTTGTGGGGGAGCCCCGGTGGGTGAGTTTATGGGGGGAAGAATCTGCTTCTTCCTCCCCTCCAAGCGTGGAATACGCCACGGCTCTTACTCAGCTTTTTCCAGGAGGGATGCCCTGCTCTTTAGCACAAGGAGGTGTCTCCCCCTTCCCCTTCCTGAGCCCCCTCCCCTTGCATTAGGAAATGCCTGGCCTCCCCCCCTTCCCAGCCTTGAGACAGGAAGGACCCCTCTTGCCCAAGCCCAGAGGCACTGGTGCCCAGCAGGAGCACTAAATGGGCGAAAGAGAGGGAAAGAGGGCAGGTGGGATGCTCCGCTGGGGGCTGAGAGGACCCTCTGCTCCTCTTTCTCCTTCCTTCCTTCCTCTCTATTCCTTCCTTCTTCCTCCTCTTCCCTTCCATCTGTCCCTCTCCTCCTTCACCTTCCTTTCCCCCCCTTCCTGGCTGTCATTCCCATTTCCTTCCTTCCTTCCTTTCTATTCCTTTCCTTCCTTCCTTTCTCCTATTACTCCCTTCTTTCCTCTCTCCTATTCCTTCCTTCCCTTCCTTCTCTCCTATTCCTTCCTTCCCTTCCTTCCTTCTTCCCTTCCATCTGTCCCTCTCCTCCTTCACCTTCCTTTCCCCCCCTTCCTGGCTGTCATTCCCATTTCCTTCCTTCCTTCCTTTCTCCTATTACTCCCTTCTTTCCTCTCTCCTATTCCTTCTTCCCTTCCTTCTCTCCTATTCCTTCCTTCCCTTCCTTCCTTCTTCCCTTCCATCTGTCCCTCTCCTCCTTCACCTTCCTTTCCCCTCTTTCCTGGCTGTCATTCCCATTTCCTTCCTTCCTCTCTATTCCTTTCCTTCCTTTCTCCTATTCCTTCTTTCCTTCTCCTCCTTCACTTTCCTATTCTTCCTTTCCTTCCCCCCACGCTTCCTGGCTGTCATTCCCATTTCCTTCCTTCCTCTCTATTCCT